GGGAGAGTATTGGTTATGTAAGTATAAAGTGACCGGGGAGAGTATTGGTTATGTAAGTATAAAGTGACCAGGGAGAGTATTGAATATGCAAGTATAAAGTGACCAGGGAGAGTATTGGTTATATAAGTATACAGTGACCGGGGAGAGTATTGGTTATGTAAGTATAAAGTGACCGGTGAGAGTATTGGTTATGTAAGTATAAAGTGACCAGGGAGAATATTGGTTATGTAAGTATAAAGTGACCAGGGAGAGTATTGGTTATGTAAGTATAACGTGACCAGGGAGAGTATTAGTTATGTAAGTATAAAGTGACCGGGGAGAATACTGGTTATGTAAGCATAAAGTGACCGGGGAGAGTATTGGTTATGTAAGTATAAAGTGACCGGGGAGAGTATTGGTTATGTAAGTATACAGTGACCGGAGAGAGTATTGGTTCTGTAAGTATAAAGTGACCGGCGAGATTATTGGTTATGTAAGTATAAAGTAACCAGGGAGAGTATTGGTTATGTAAGTATAAAGTGACCGGGGAGATTATTGGTTATGTAAGTATACAGTGACCGGAGAGAGCATTGGTTCTGTAAGTATAAAGTGACCGGCGAGAGTATTGGTTATGTAAGAATAAAGTGACCAGGGAGAGTATTGGTTATGTAAGTATAAAGTGACCAGGGCGAGTATTGGTTATGTTAGTATAAAGTGACCGGGGAGAGTATTGGTTATGAAAGTATAAAGTGACCAGGGAGAGTATTGGTTATGTAAGTATAAAGTGACCAGGGAGAGATTGGTTATGCCATTTCAGCTACTTTCAGCGTAGCTTTATTGGAGCCCACTATGGACACCATCTTGATATCGGCTGATGCGAGACCTAAAAACCACACAGGTCAACTTAAGCCGTCTTTATCGTCCAACGTTCCAAAATCATTTTTTCATTTGTTACCCTTTTTTAAGTACTATCTCTTCCTTTCTTAAAGAAGCAGCACTGTCCGATATTGTGCTATCAAGTCCACGCAGTTGGAACACTGTCCTTGTTTATTATCTAACACCCATTCAAAGTACCAACACTGAAAGATATTCATTATAACAAATATTGAAGTGTGACTACAGCTGTTAAATGATTTCTGAAAAGAAAATCATACCTTCCGAGACTTTTATGAAAAAGTTAATCAATGAATGAAGAAATGAACATAATTATATAAATAAACATATAGAAAATAAACAAATAAAAAACAATGTTCTGAAATCCAGCGTGGAGAGACTAGGAATCGAACTCTGGATCATATTGTTATATTACCTGGTCAACTGAAGCACTGTTCCCCTCTAGCGTCAAGTATATATACCCAAACTAAAATTAAAGGGAGGTTAGTGTATGTAGGAAAAACTAAGATGGGATCTCTAGTGTTAGGTCTGCAGTGGGAGTGGATCGTAAAGGTAGCACCACTGTGCGGTGTTTACTATCATACACATTTAATGTTGTAACACCGTATGTTATAACACACATATAGGTAGAAACACTTCGATGTTAATTATATCAAATAATTAAGGTAGTACCAATTCCATTCGTTCATATTACCAGTGTATTATATTACATTCCCTAAAAATATTAATTTCATGCATTTTTACCCTTTTTTTAATGTTCTGGGGCTAATTATAGCGCTATTGAAACAATATTTCACATACTAAAGGATACAGTTATGTATAATAATCTGATATTTTTTTCATGCATTCATGTGGAGTGGCTTTTGAGGAATGACAAGTTATTGAGATAAAATCAATTTTACTACGCCATTTTGTACTTCGTCTTTAAGATTTTACAAATTTTATTTTCGAGAATAACTCATCGAATTTTGCAAATCATTCCACGGAAAAATATAAATAATGTCAGATGAAACATCAAATAATTCTCTTTCATGGTGGTCCCATTTCACTTAAGTAGCGCGATAATTGGATCCAGGAAATTGAAAGCAAAGGGAAAGAAATGCATGACATATAGAATTAATCTGGGAAAATCGTAAATACTTTGGACATGCTGCTGCAAATTGAGACCATATACAGTATTTTAGTATTTCGTGATAAAATAAAGACACATATTGCATTCTGACATTTTAGAAAAAGTCCGATTTATTAAGAAAAAAACGCTATCAAAATATTTCAAATTCCGCTTAAAAAAAACAAACAGAAAAAATCATTAGCTTTAACACCAATAAGTTTGGCAGACAAAATCAAACTTGTCACAAAAATCGAAAGTAACTTAAGGATTAGCCATTACATTACGCCGTGCAAATCATGTCATTTTACACAAAGTTATTGGGTAATTAACTGAAAACACTAATTCCACATAAAAAAAACACCTGAACAGCTAATTCTGGTTCTCACAATACACAGCAATTTCAACTATCTATCCAAAATGCTACACAACTTTCTCGCAATTCAATAATTTAAGTGACATTCAGTATTTAAATACTGATTACTTGAAACTTTGCTTTGCTCTGTATGCTGTGGTTGTCATTTGTTGATATCGGTCAAATCACTTTGATTTTCAATGCAGATTTTATTCAAACAGTGATTTCGATGGTCACACGTGATTTTGATTTTATATAGGTATTTTTGATTTGTAATGCTATGCACTCCATCTTCAATTTAGTAATACTCCCTCTATTAATTTCATTTTTCAGATGATGGTTACGTCACACTTCCAGGCGCACGTGCAGGTACTCGCGATAGCTGATTGGTGAATTGATCCCGTAGTATAGATCCTCGTCTTTGTCGTCACCGTAACTATTATGCTGCAAATAAATATAACTGGTTTTAATAAAGCGTCTTCTGATGTATGCAACATATGTGGTACTAGGTTCTATATGTAACCATTTATGCAAGCTTGTGTACATCTTTACTGCCCTTGTACTGTACATTGATAGCGACGTAGATCACCGCCTTGTAGACCCTAGCATTATATGTGGAACATTTATCGTGACGTAGACAACATCATTGTATAAGTCGTCATTTTAGTGACGTGTACACAGGTTTTACTCTACGTCTAGCAGCGAATGTTTAACATATAACAGTACAAGTAGAACTTTCAGCTAGTAGGGTAGCAAAAAACACCGTTTAGCAGTAATACACTCTGTAGCAGTTAGTAGTGCAACAATCGGCTCCGTTAAGCAGTAATACACTAATTAACAGTTAGTAGGGCAACAATCGGCTCCGTTTAGCAGTACTACACTCTGTAGCAGTTAGCAGGCTAACAATCGGCATCAGTTAGCAGTAATACACTCTGTAGCAGTTAGTAGGGCAACAATCGGCACCGTTTAGCAGTAATACACTCTGTAGCAGTTAGTAGGGCAACAATCGGCACCGTTTAGCAGAAATACACTCTGTAGCAGTTAGCAGGTCAACAATCGGCACCGTTTAGCAGTAATACACTCTGTAGCAGTTAGCAGGTCAACAATCGGCACCGTTTAGCAGTTATACACTCTGTAGCAGTTAGCAGGTCAACAATCGGCACCGTTTAGCAGTAATACACTCTGTAGCAGTTAGTAGTGCAACAATCGGCTCCGTTAAGCAGTAATACACTCTGTAGCAGTTAGCAGGGTAATAATTGGCACAGTTTAAAAAAAATCCGTTTAGCAGTAATACACTCTGTAGCAGCTAGCAGGGTAACAATCGGCATCGTTTTGCTATAATACACTCCATAGCGTTTAGTAAAAAATCCACGAAATGTCACGTACAGGTACAAGACAATTCGGACGGGATTAATAAAATGTATTACCTGTAACTGAGCGAGATTGGGTTATCTCAGTAGAGGGTTAAGATTCTGTAATATCCCAACCGAGGCGTTAGCCGAGGTTGGGATTTTGTTACAGAATCTTAAAACATTTTATTAATCCCGTTCGATTTGTCTGGTACCTGTTCGTGACATTTCGTTGAATTTTTACTAAACGCTTTTGAGTGTATTATAGCAAATCGATGCCGATTGTTACCCTGCTAGCTGCTACAGAGTGAGATAACCCGATCTTGCTCAGTTACAGGTAATTGATTTATTTTCTCGCACCTTTTAGTTCGAAAAAAACTATTCAATTTTGACAAAAACTACAAGTATCCCGCCTTGGGCCTCAAATGACAATGACCTCTTCACTACTTAAGCTACATTTGAATGCTTCCGCGTAAAAATGTAGTCCGTCCTTACATAGATTACAACGTATTTCACATTGTAGATTATATTTTATCTACAACATCAAATATCTAACCACATCAAAACTACATATAAAGACAAAACAGAACATTTATAATGCAAATTGTCAATTTCAAGCAGTTATAAGGTAGCAGTATACAGGAGAGGGTTGTGGCCATGGGTGATATGTTTGTTAAATGGCCAACCCCTGTATAATGATATGTAAAAAATATATAAAAATGAAACTGTACTAAAATTGGTATTAGCATGTTGAAGTGGACTATGTGAGCTTCACATTTGTAAAAAAAACAAAAACCTTTTTGGTTCGAGATCAAAATTTTACCCATAATCCGAAAAGGTGCCTACACATGAAAAGCTAGCTTTACAGGAGGGAATTTTTTTAACAACAGCACACGACGCAAAATTGCAAAAAATCAAGTTTGACAACTTTACTGGGACCCAGATAATTCTGCAACCAAGTCGGTAACCTTTAGTTTAAGACAGAACTTAGGAAAAAAAATACTAGTTGCGGGGGTCAAATTTTGGGTCAAAAATAGCATTATTTGGCATTTTTTGGTAATTTTTGATGTGGTAACCATGGTTTTCACACAAGTGCCATACATAGAAAAAAGAGGTTTATACACTTCTCAGTTCTTTATACGTATTGTAAATGTAACGCAGTTTACAAATATATATACATGTATACATGTGTTGTGTAGGGTAAATCCGCTGTGTTTACATTTTCTCGACATGTGCCTTGTTTTTCAGAGTCGGGCCATTTCTACTGTAGACTGCTACCTAACGCGCGGATGAATAAATAGCATTGTAAAAATTCCGCGAAAAGTCACGTAAAAGTACAAGACAGATCGGATGAGATAGAAAAATCTAGCATGGGGTATGACGTAAGATATCTCTATCTGAGGTGCGAGAAAGAACCTCTGTCTGAGGTGCGAGAAAACGTATGACAACAACAAAGATTAAGTACGATGTCTGCAATGATGACGTCAGAAGATAAAGGCGTATCTATTTCGATCAAAATTAAGACTATCAGACTGGAGATTTTCCTGATCCTACTAGGGTAAGAAATAAGAGCATAACGAGTTGTTTTAGCATTGATTAAGTTAGCAGCAAGAAGTGGAGTAGACAATACGTCATCCTATGTTCCAGGTTACAACGAAAATAGGAGAAACTGGTTTGTTTCACCTGTCATCGTCAAGCGGAGACAAAACTAGCCCATTTACATACATGCCGTGGTCAAATACATTCCAATTTAAAACGTTTACCAGAATAAGACGGATTTAATCACATTTGACTTTTAATCCGTGAAATGCACTGGAGATAGAGATATAATCAAGAGAAGAACAGTGAACCAGTCTTTCCTTTGTAGGTAACTAACTATACATGCAGAAAACTATAAGGGTAAACATAGCGTGAATTGCGATTAAAAACGTGATAATTCAGATGAATTATATACTAATTTGGTAGAAGCTTAAACTTTTTTTTTCTTTTAAAACATCTAAAACCCAATTCCGTGGATTTTGTTTTAAAGACTTGCGATTTTTTAAAGAACTGTACTCCATTTGTCAACGAGTGGAGCAAAAAAGGAGGACACTGTTCTACGTTTCATGACAGAAGTGATTAAAGTTTTCTTATCATCATACCAATCATATCAAAAAGTTGGAAACAGAAGATTCTTGACCTGTATTATGAAACCGGGTAACCATTGACATTCGAACTGTATGAAAGTTTTGCGTTTCTCTTATAAGTACAGCCTCTGTCGGACCAGATTTATCCATATGGGGAAAAGCTGAGATGAGCTCAAGCTCGGTAGCGTCTCCTGAAAGCCGCGGTCACATCTTACGGTCACGCACGTATACGTAGTTGACCGTAGTTCATGTGAAACGTAGTATCACTACGGTCAACTAGGTTGAAATAGGTTCAACATTGGCAGAAGAGGAAACATAAAGAAAGTAGGGTGAACTACGTGTACGTACGGCCAACTACGTTGAACTACGAGCAAAATGGCTAGCGTTAAGGGCATGTCACGCACTACCGGTTAGTCCGAATTATTCTGACGTTTTATCGACTTTTTAGGTTACCTGACCATAGGTCATGGTAACCTATTGTGATGGCCTTTTGTCCGTCGTCGTCCGTCGTGCGTTAACTTTTCCTTGTGAACACGATTACTTCAGTAAATGTTAACCGAGTTTGATGAAACTTTGTATGCAGCCATATATCAATAAGATCCCCGGATGAGTTGGAAAATCGGAATTATTCGACAGTAACTTACAGAGTTATTGCCCTTTGTAATAATATTATTACACTATTTTGTATTGGACCTTGTGTTCACGATAACTTGAGTAAATATCAACCACGTTTGATGAAACTCTGTATGTAGCCTTATATCAATAAGATCTCGGATGAGTTCGAAACTGTGAATTATTTGACAGTAACTTACAGAGTTATTGCCTTTTGTAATAACATTATTATTGGACCTTGTAAACACGATAACTTGAATAAATGTTGACGGAGTTCAATGAAACTTTGGTCGGTAATTATTTGACGGTAACATGCAGAGTTATTGCCCTTTGTCATTATATTATTATTTGTCCCTGTGATGTTGATTGACATTACACAAGAATAGATGTAAATTCATGTGGTACACCTTTTTTTTTCATTCATGACGCATTTTTGCTACTAACAAGGTGCTATTTAATTTTGTGCCTTATTTAATAAATCATTGATTTACGCTTTTACTTGTTTCTTTTAACCAAGAACAAAAGACATACAGTTACCAAGTTTGTTCAAAACAGACCCCTCGGGTCAAAATTGGAGTCATACCCATTTATTTCAGTTATCGTGTTCACAGGGTCCAACAATAATATAATTACCAAGGGGAATAACTATGTAAGTTATGGTCAAATTGGTTCGGTATTCAAACTCATCCAAGATCTCATTGATGCAAAGCTGCATACAAAGTTTCATCAAAATCGGTTCATATTTACTGAAGTTATTGTGTTCACAAGGAAAAATTAATGGACGATGCAGCAAGGTCACTCGGACCGACGAAAAGTATGAATTTTCCCCTGGATGACAGCCCTAGTTTGAATCGGATGTCAGGTGACCGTTAAGGCCCATGTGCGTCTTGTTTTTATATCGGTCTGTCGTCGATTAACGTCAGAACTCCGGTCATCTATAATATGCGGGAAATAAGCGACCCGCGCCTGGGTCGCTTTTCAAACTGATATTTTAGAAACAAATCGTCACTTTCACAAACATGTCGCACATGGATCGGAAGATCTATTCGTTAATCGACGACAGACCAATATGAGCAAAAGTCGATAAAATGTCAGAATAATTCGGACTAACTACCGATTTACCTTGCCGGGACTAAACCGGAGCAAAAAATTAACAACAGCGAGAAAATCGTTCAGAGCTCCGGCGAGAAAGCATGTGAAAGCATTAAAATTGACCGTAGCAATATCGATGAGCCGCCGAAGTTTTACCGAGGCGCCGCCGTTCTACCGATATCCACCGTTGACCGGATCTATAGCGGAGTGATACTGTTGTGCTGCCGATATTACGGTAGTACATCGTAAGTACATCGGCGGCGCATCAGTACTACTTCGGTGGTATTCGGTAGTACTATACGGTATCACATCGGTACCAGTACGGTACACATTGAGGCCACCGGAGAGCCGCCGATCCATTACGGGGCGCTATTGGTGCTCTACCGACATTAACGAAGCCATACCGTGGTACTGCCGATGTACTGCCGTTGTAGTCCCGTTACTCGCTACGGCAGCGCAACAGTGGACATTTTTGAGCATGTTCAATAATTTCTCCGGCCGTAGCTAAATTTCCCCCGATGTTCCGACGATGTCCTGACGATGTACTACCGTTCTTAGCGATGTGATACCGTTGCGCTGCCGTACTAGAACCGATCCTCGAAAATCGCCAAATTTGTGCTCCGGTATAGCTCCGGCAAACAATATTCATCAGTTTAATATTAAACATTAGAATATGTGGAAATTGAGATACTGTCTCCCTACATTGGATCTTCAACTAGGGATGCGCTTCCTACTTCCGTTTATCAATACACTCCTATGACCTTAACTAGGATCGAACCACGTTAAACTACGGTCAAGTAGGGTCAATTACGGTCAACTAGGGTCAACTACGTTCAAACTACGGTCACGGTAGGGTTTTGGCATCCAAACTCACCGTAGAGATATTTTGAACATGTTGAAAATGTTTGGGCTAACCACGGCTAAATCATGAGTTTCTGAAAGTTCAAACTACGTGTGTATAACTACGTCTAACTACGTTTAATACGTTTCAATATAAGGACGCCTACGGTCTACTACAGTCAAATATATATAGCTACGGTCATCCCCCCATTACGGTCAACTACATATACGTGTATGACCGTAAGATGTGATCGCGACTTTTTTTAATTCGAGTGTACTATGATAAGGCCCTACCTGTAGCTATAGGCTAATTTATTAACACTGAGCAGCCGGGATATCAGCGTTGACTGAGTCACAGTTGACACCAGCTGGGGTATCTGCAGTCACCTCACAAATACCTGTAACAAGGTGTAAAGTAAAATCTTACCGCTCTGTTGAAACGCAGTGCAACGCTTTTGGAAATATTTCAATGTCATAGAAAATACTGTATAAATAATTGATTAAAAACCTTTAAAAGTAATTGTTTATAAAATTAAAGTTATATATCTTGTATGCCTATGAATATTAGATAAAACAACTTTTTCCCGTGAAAGATATTCGATGTTATCATTATCATTGTTTACTTCTGAGCTGAATGAAAATCCGTTCTATAAAAATTCATATGACGTGAAAAATGCTGACGTCAAAAATAGGACTATTGCATTAAAAAATGATCCGTTTACATTACCATTACATAGCCTCTATTTATATCTAAATATACCTAGCAAAGCAAAATGTTGTAATGTAAATATAACACCAAACTTAAAAAAAAAATCCAAATTATTCGGGTTTTCCCATCATAATGTTAGAGAGATATGGCATCAATCATATATAAATCACACTTATAATTTTGACGGAAATCACCGACAGGTTTTCCGATTGAAGTCAATGTGACGTTGTGTCTGAGTTTTCTGATAACATTGTTCTATTGGCGACACGCACAGTATTTGTACAAAAGAACATTTAATTTTACCAGTGAAATATCGGGAAATGTTAAAAAAACGAGTGTTCTTTGTCACTGCAATCAGGATTGTTAAAATTATTTTTTTGACTAGTGAAAAATAACACTTTCAACATGAGGAAATGCCGAATACAAAATCAAGTACATGTGTATTTACTTATAAGAAGTTTGAAAGGTGCGTGCTCAACACTGTCCTCGGTCGTGACGCACTAATGCACTCCCACTGTTTGTTACATTCGTTTTCATTTTTTTTAACAATATAACGAGTTTATTTTCAAAGGCTTCCCAATGAATATCATATGTTGTACTCTTGGGTCAAAAACTTACAAAAAGGTATTCTGTCACAATCATTATCAATATTACTCTGTTTGACACTGCGGCATAAACAAGCATACGTGATTACCTGGATGACCCTCAGGTGTTGTAAGGGTGACCGAGGAAGGGTCAGTACGCCAGACACTTGCAAGAGTACAGTTAATGAAACCAAGCTCGTCACCGTTTTTCATACCATCCATGTCCGAATCGGCATTACACAGATCTGCCGTCCAGGTATAATTAGCAGCCGCAAAAGCCTTAAAGAAAATTATATACAAATTGGATGCATTACCGTATTGTTGCAATATGTGAAAAAGTGATTTAATTTACAATTGACAAGAACTAAACATGACCTATATTTATAGAAAATATCAGCTGACAAGGAACTTTAGAAAAAAAAGCATTACTGAGGTCTTCAGAAAGTTATAAAGAACGATGTATATATAAAGTTAACGTCTGCTTTATTTTATTACATTAATTTCACCTGTAGAGATATGTTTTTATGAGCATTAATATTTGTCAACCATACCAGTCAACATGTACAGGGCGCTGCATGCCTGTGTGTGATGCAGGTATACAATCTGACTAAAACAGATTTGTAATTGACTGGATTGTCGAGTATCGGAGTGGAATTAAAGATCTGGTTCTAATCAGATTGGCAGGTATATTGTACATTCTATAAATAAGCCTTTTACAAATTACCATGGTTACATAGACTGTAGACCTAGTAGTGTCACCCCCTAGTTACATAGACTGTAGACCTAATATTAGGTCTAAGTCTATGTAACTAGGGGATGACAATATTAGGTATACATTCTATGTAACCAGGGGATGACAATATGAGGTCTACAGTCTTTGTAAACAAGGGATGGCAATATTAGGTCTACAGTCTCCTAATATTGTCATCCCCTGCTTACATAGACTGTAGACCTAATACTGTCATCCACTGGTTACATAGACTGTAGATCTTACATTGTCATCCCCTGGTTACATAGACTGTAGACCTAATATTGTCATCCTCTGGTTACATAGACCGTAGACCTTATATTGTCATCCCCTGCTTACATAGACTGTAGACCTAACATTGTCATCCTCTGGTTACATAAACTGTAGACCTAATACTGTCATCCACTGGTTACATAGACTGTAGACCAAATATTGTCATCCTCTGGTTACTTAGACTGTAGACCTAACGTGGTCATTCCCTGATTCCATAAACTGTTGACCTAACATTGCCATTCTCTGGTTACATAGACTGTAGACCTAATATTGTCATCCTCTGGTTACATAGACTGAAGACCTAATATTGTCATCCCCTGGTTACATAAACTGTAGACATAACATTATCATCCCCTGGTTACATAGATTGTAGACCTAATATTGTCATTCTCTGGTTACATAGACTGTAGACCTAATATTGTCATCCCCTGGTTACATAAACTGTAGACATAACATTGTCATCCCCTGGTTACATAGATTGTAGACCTAATATTGTCATTCTCTGGTTACATAGACTGTAGACCTAACATTATCAACTCCTGGTTACATAGACTGTAGAACTAATATTGTCATCCTCTGGTTACATAGACTGTAGACCTAATATTGTCATCCCCTGGTTACATAGACTGTAGACTTAATGTTGTCATCCTCTGGTTACATAGACCGTAGACCTAATATTGTCATCCTCTTGTTACATAAACTGTAGACCTAACATTGTCATCCCCTGGTTACATAGATTGTAGACCTAATATTGTCATCCCCTGGTTACTTAGATTGTAGACCTAATATTGTCATCCTCTGGTTACATAAACTGTAGACATAACATTGTCATCTCCTGGTTACATAGACTGTAGACCTAATATTGTCATCCTCTGGTTACATAAACTGTAGACATAACATTGTCATCTCCTGGTTACATAGACTGTAGACCTAATATTGTCATCCTCTGGTTACATAAACTGTAGACATAACATTGTCATCTCCTGGTTACATAGACTGTAGACCTAACATTGTCATCCCCTGCTTACATAGACGGAAGACCTTATATTGTCATCCCCTGGTTACATAGATTGTAGACCTAATATTGTCATCCCCTGCTTACATAAACTGTAGGCCTAATATTGTCATCCCCTGGTTACATAAACTTTAAACCTAACATTGTCATCCCCTGGTTACATAGACTGTAGACCTAGTAGTGTCACCCTCTAGTTACATAGACTGTAGCCCTAATATTGACATTCCCTGGTTACATAGCCTATATACTTAATATTGTCATCCCCTGGTTACATAAACTTTAAACCTAACATTGTCATCCCCTGGTTACATAGACTGTAGAACTAATACTGTCATCCCCTGGTTACATAGGATGTAGACCTACTATTGTCATCCGCTGGTAACATAGACCGTAGACCTTAAATTGTCATCCCCTGGTTACATAGACTTTAGACCTAATATTGTCATCCCCTGCTTACATAGACCGTAGACCTAATATTGTCATCCCCTAGGTACATAAACTGTAGACCTAATATTGTCACACCCTGGTTACATAGACTGTAGACCTTAAATTGTCATCCCCTGCTTACATAGACTGTAGACCTAATATTGTCATCCTCTGGTTACATAAACTGTGGACATAACATTGTCATCTCCTGGTTACATAGACTGAAGACCTAACATTGTCATCCCCTGCTTACATAGAGGTAAGACCTTATATTGTCATCCCCTGGTTACATAAATTGTAGACCTAATATTGTCATCCCCTGCTTACATAGACCGTAGACCTAATATTGTCATCCTCTTGTTACATAGACTGTAGACCTAACATTGTCATCCCCTGCTTACATAGCCTATATACTTAATATTGTCATCCCCTGGTTACATAAACTGTAGACATAACATTGTCATCCCCTGGTTACATAGACTGTAGACCTAGTAGTGTCACCCTCTAGTTACATAGACTGTAGACCTAATATTGACATTCCCTGGTTACATAGCCTATATACTTAATATTGTCATCCCCTGGTTACATAGACCGTAGACATAATATTGTCACCCCCTAGTTGCAGAGACTGTAGACCTAATACAGTCATCCCCTGGTTACATAGACTGTAGACCTAATAGTGTCATCCCCTGGTTACATAGACTGTAGAACTAATACTGTCATCCCCTGGTTACATAGGATGTAGACCTACTATTGTCATCCGCTGGTAACATAGACCGTAGACCTTAAATTGTCATCCCCTGGTTACATAGACTTTAGACCTAATATTGTCATCCCCTGCTTACATAGACCGTAGACCTAATATTGTCATCCCCTAGGTACATAAACTGTAGACCTAATATTGTCACACCCTGGTTACATAGACTGTAGACCTTAAATTGTCATCCCCTGCTTACATAGACTGTAGACCTAATATTGTCATCCCCTGGTTACATAGACCGTAGAACTAATACTGTCATCCCCTGGTTACATAGGATGTAGACCTTCTATTGTCATCCCCTGGTTACATAGACTGTAGAACTAATACTGTCATCCCCTGGTTACATAGGATGTAGACCTACTATTGTCATCCCCTGGTAACATAGACCGTAGACCTTAAATTGTCTTCCCCTTCTTACATAGACTGTAGACCTAATATTGCCATCCCCTGCTTACCTAGACCGTAGACCTAATATTGTCATCCCCTAGGTACATAAACTTTAGACCTAATATTGTCATCCCCTGGTTACCTAGACCGTAGACCTAATATTGTCATCCCATAGGTACATAAACTTTAGACCTAATATTGTCATCCCCTGGTTACATAGACTGTAGACCTTAAATTGTCATCCCCTGGTTACATAGACTGTAGACCTAACATTGTCATCCTCTGGTTACATGGACTGTAGACCTAACAATGTCATCCTCTGGTTACATAGACTGTAGACCTAATATTGTCATCCCCTGGTTACATAAACTGTAGACCTAACATTGTCATCCTCTGGTTACATAGACTTTAGACCTAACGTGGTCATTCCCTGGTTACTAAGACTGTAGACCTAACATTGTCATCCTCTGGTTACATAGACTGTAGACCTAACAATGTCATCCTCTGGTTACATAGACTGTAGAACTAATACTGTCAACCACTGGTTACATAGACTGTAGATCTTAATGTTGTCATCCCCTGGTTACATAAACTGTAGACCTAACATTGTCATCCTCTGGTTACATAGACTGTAGACCTAATATTGTCATCCCCTGCTTACATAGACTGTAGACCTACCATTGTCATCCTCTGGTTACTTAGACTGTAGACCTAACGTGGTCATCCTCTGGTTACTTAGACTGTAGACCTAACATTGTCATCCCCTGGTTACTTAGACTGTAGACCTAACATTGTCATCCCTTGGTTACATAGACTGTAGACCTACCATTGTCATCCCCTGGTTACATAGATTGTATACCTAACATTGTCATCCCCTACAGTAGTTACATAATATAAAGGATACAGATATACAATGTAGATTAATCGCTATTTTCGATATAGTTGTCCGTAAAGTTGGTGGTATTTTTTCATTTCAATACCGCAATATTGCTGTAAGCGTACACTACCTCTCCAAATAGGTTTCGTTGAAATGGATTTCCTGTGTATCCTGCAGTAACGTGTCCGACCGCCTGCCAATTTGTTAAATTGGAGCAGGATGTATATTTAACATTTTCTCCATTTGGAATCAGATCGATGTAACTTTCGTAGGCAGAAACATAAAATACACACGGTATCAGTAGTAAAGTGCTGTACAGGGACATCCTGATGATCTGGTTTGTTAGATCGTCTTTTGTCTTACGCCGGGTTAGAATAGTCGTCTCGTGCACAACACACCTATATTTTTGTCATTAAGAAACAGAATTTATTACGGACAGACGTCATCATTGTTTTATATTATCAAAATGTCATCCCACCTGTCTTGTTCCTCCTCACCCCATGGGAGGGTAAACGTTTATGGTTGTCGGTAAGACTTGGGCTCATAACGAGCTGAAGAACAAACACAGGACGGTACATTGACGTGGACATTCGCTATTATACACGTCACTACAGTGATGTTGTACATCTCATCAATTATCTTAAACAACAAAACGTTTGTATACGGAATTACCTTTTTTTATCTATTTTCCGGCTGTTGTACATACTATTGTTTTTGAATAACATCCAAATTGCTTACAGCCCATCAGAAAAGGTTAAAAAAGTAACCTGTAGTTACAACTGCAACCAAGTTAATAAAACAAAAATTACACTGAGAAAAGAAAATATGACTGAATAGACAAGATATTGCATAATTGCAATTACACTGGGACAATTGTGATTAAATAGACCAATATAACACAATGACAATTACACTGAGACAAGTGCGATTAAATAGACCAATATAACACAATGACAATAACACTGAGACAATTGTGATTGAATAGACCAATATAACATCATGACAATTACACTGAGACAATTGTGATTAAATAGACCAATATAACACAAGGACAATAACACTGAGACAAGTGTGATTAAATTGACCTAGATGTAACACAATGACAATTACACTGAAACAATTGTGATTAAATAGACTGAGATATTACACAATTACAATTACACTGAGAGAAGTGTGATTAAATAGACCTC